ATTGTTTTTAAATTAATTGACATTCATTTAAATTATTACAAAATGTGGTTGATTAGTGTATCTTTTTTTTTTTTTTTACACGTGTATGAGAGTACATTCAGAGGCTATATGGGATGTTAGTTTAGGTAGGTACAGGTCTCTTTTACCTACATACGCCACCATAGTTTCACATCTTGAATAAACAAGAAATAGAGTTATGTTTCTTTGAATGATTAGTGTATATGTACACTTTACACACCGACATGAAGGGGCCGTGCATGATAAATTATATGCGGGCCCATAAAAAGTGTACATGTAACATGGTCATTCTTTTAAAGTACGTGTTGATAGGCAATCGAGAGGACATTTTCACCCCAGACTATATTCCTTCATTGGATTCAGGAATAGCGGGCTCAAAAGGCTAGTATTTCATTTATATACTTCTAGGTCATAAAAGGATTTTATAGTTCGTGCATACGAGGATTTAATACTAATCTTTCAAAGCTGCTTATGTCTATAAAGAACAAGGAAGTACGAAGGTTACCTTCACATGCAATAAGTCGTTATTTAAGTAATGGAAGTTAAAGACACAATGGTTTATGATGCATTAGATATAGAAGTTCACCGACATTTATGATATGTAGTCGAATACTATTCACAAAATTATAAATGTTTCTAATCTAGATTGTATTTCACAGGAAGCATTCGTTTTCACTTATTGGGCTGAATCAATTGATTATGATTGAAGAGAAGAAACACTCAATAAAAATTGATCATTTGCATGTGTTCAATCTAACAAGTCAAAATACTGGTAACTCATTTTGCTTGTAAATCACTATAATCATATATGTTGAATTGACAACGATACAATGAATGCTTCATTTATTAAAAATAAAAAATAAATTTATGCATCATTATTCTTTTGTATTTAATTTTAAAAAATAGTGGTTAGTATGTAAAATCAAAATTAAATGGAGTCCTCCTCTTGTCGGAAGAAAGATAAGTGGATATCACTTACAAATTTAATTTCAACTTCGCATTCCTAACAGCCAAGACAATGACAAATTCATTATTCATCAAAAAAAAAAAAAAAAATGTTATCTTTTGTATACAACTTGTTTCTTCCTTTTGTACAAATAAATCCTTTTCAGATTTTATAATTTCTCTAATTTCTTATATAAGTAAGGCCAAAAGTAGTAACGCAGTAAAACTACAAATATTTATTTCCTTTAATGGTTGACTACAACTTAATATAGGGTTTCATCTTAAAAAATGTCGACCTTATTAAAATGAGTCATCCAAATCCTTATGTAATTATTACTATTTTCATATATAACAGTCATGAAATTTTACTTTCAATAGAAGACACAATACAATATTTACGTATAATATTTGTACAAACACGCCAATGCACACATATACATATAAATTTATTTTCTAGTAAAACAACATAGGCTCACTCTAATGTCCAGTATGGGGACAGGGAGAAACGTAGAAGCTCAAAAACTATATTTAATGTGACTTAGTCGTATACTTTTTTGATCATATTTTCAATTTGTGATTCTTTTCAGACTCACTGTTTGAAGGAGGAAACGCGTCTGAGTCCGTGATTGGTGTTGGAAGTGGGGTCGTCTCGTGGAGCTTCAAAAACAAGGAAACAAACAAATTTTATTGTAAGAAATGCATGTGATGAAGTCAAAGTCTACGAAATTGGCACGACTGACGATCTTAAAAGGTAACCAATTATTTTTTTTTTCTTCCATATTAACTGATCTTCGATCTCTTCATATATGTCACACTTCTCCTATTTCAAAAATTGATGAATTTAATACTTGTTAAGACTATTTAGTACGTTAAGTTTTTTTTAAAAAATACTAAATTTAATTTAATAAATTTCTCTTTTTTTCTTTTTAATGGCACATACTTGGATACACGTACCTCTAAATATAATTTGTCACTTTCCAGGTTTGATATTTTTTCTTTTTTCTTTTTTTCCCCCTAGTATCCTAAGACCTCGTAAAAAAAATTTTAGTAAAATTATTAGGTGATTAAATTTATGTATTTGTAGTTATCATTTTTAATTTTTGTCCCTTACTAGCTAGATGGTGCATTTTGTTAGAAGCTTCTGAAATCACATCTCCAATGCAAGACGATGGGGAGGAAAATAGCTGCAAACAAACATGTTGGTGTAGGCGCCCTCCATTAAGTTAAAATGGGTTCATTTTTAATACACTCGTTGACTCTCTCTCTCTCTCTCTCTCACACACACATACACACACACTAATTGATTGTCGCATATATTAAATTCTACAAGAAAAAAGTGGTCGAAGAAGACGAATTTCTCTATGTGATTGTTGGGTTCTCAGAATCAATCAGGACATTCAACTTCTATCGATCTAGAAAGTCACTTGTTCACTCAACAAGAATCTTTAGTCATTGGTTAAAGAGCATCGAGTAATTCTAATAACTATATAACCATACAATAATAACTAACAAAAATTAAGTTCTTACGTATTATATTGTCTAATATTATGGAAACATGTCGTTTAGGTGATTAAACTTATGTTTTTGTAGTTATTATTGCCAAATTTCTGCCAATTCCGACACCGACGCGACAAATGACAAAATTGCCTTGGTGCGGTTTTTCTTCATTAATTACCCGAGATCTCGGGACTCCGCCCAGAGTCCAATTTCTCGGTCGTTGTTTATGCATTAACTGGAATCAAATCTGAATGCAGCCAATGTTTTTACGAAGAAGATATAAAAGAAAATAATTTTTATTTTCAAAATCAGCAAATATTTTGCTAATTGCATCGTTGTCACTTGATATTGAAGGGCATCAGACTTAGCCAAAACGCTTTTCTTAAGAAAATGGTGGGTCTCACAATTAATCAATTTATTTCACTTAATGAGGAATTCTGCTTGCTGAGGACCAGTTTTAGATATTTCTTATTGGTTTAAAATAGCTGGAAAATTGAACCACTTTGTCTCTTGATTGATTGGGAATGCAGTGGCCTCTTGATTGATTGGGAATGCAGTGGCCTCTTATAAGCACAACCAATCATAATCGATTTATATGGCGCTCCATATGATTTTATTTATTTTTATCATCAATACACTATTCAAAAATGGGGCTCACACAACTTATCATAACATCACTCATTTTTATTATGAAAAATCAATTTTCTATGGTAGACAGTCCATATGAATAACATTATTCATATATATTGGAAAAAAACATAACCGTTAAATGTGACACGATTTTTCAATAGCGAAGATAAACATAATTTGAATTTAGGAAGGGGCTTAGCTTGGCCTCTAGTTAAAGGCTTAGTAATGTAAAAATAAACTATCTCGTCCAAAAAAGGAGAATACAATGTAAAAAAATAAAAAACTACACTTTATGGGTGTGCCCTGTCTCTCTCTCAGACACACATATATATATTCGTACCCTTTATATGCTATAAGAGAACATAAAAAGTTATTTACAAATACAACGAGTAAGAGCAACTAATAAGTTGCCATTGCTTGGGGACAAAACCCTCCCTCTATTCATAGTACGATGGTAACATCTAATTAAAAACTTAAGTCTTATCACCAACGTGATCGATCACAATCAATTATATCAAAACCTATGCCATTCCAAAACTAATTCACATGGCTGTCAGCAAACATTCCACACAACGACTAAAGAATTTTGGTGTGAAGTGTAAACCATAATTTATATAGTCAATTATCAAGGTATATAATACTTGATATATAGGTACTGTTAGTCCAAAAGCGTTCGAAACGAATATTTCAAATTTCAATAAATCATAAATTGCTTAAAAAAGAAAAAAGAAAAAAATGGAGAATTGTTCAATTTGCTTGATGCTTTGTGGTAAGTATATGGAATTCGATTAAGTAAGTGTTTAACTGTTAAGAAATTGTTACACAGGATGCAGCCTCTACAATTGGATTTTCAAGTTGAATTGTTGAAATGATTTCAAGTGTAACATGTTAGCAAAGTCTTAAAAAGAATTCGACTTCAATAAACAAGAATTCTTTTATCGTGCATTTGAAAGTGAATTGTTAACATACTTTTTCTGAAATAGTACTTTTCATATTAATTTTTTGATCAGTCAATTTTGTTTAACTTAATTTAATAATTTTAAGTTAAAAAGGTGAATTTTACTGAAATTTCACATCGAGTTCTTGACATGTGTCTCCTATCACTATGTGAATTTTAATTATAAGCTGAATGGTTATTGATATATTTATAGTATGAAGTATGAAACAATATTAAATTAAAATTTTAATTATTGTCGTATTTTCTAAAAAAAAAAAAATTCATACTATAAGAAATTTCGTTAAAAATAAGAAAAAAAAATGTATATGAATGCCTTTTTGGAGTGAAGTATTAATCACCCAAACATTTGGTTTAACATCATAATAGAAACAAATTATTTGAACCAAATGCATTCTCTTAGAGATAATCTAAATTATTGCCCCATTTCACCAATTATGTATGTTACAAGCACAAGCAAATGTCATTCCATACGCAAAGCAAAACATTTTTTTTTGGAACACAA